AAAGACGTTCTAGACAGTTTATAACAATACTATTAATAATAACTCCACATTGAAAAATACCCACTCACCAATAAAAAAATGAATATCTAAACTATAACATGTATTTATACAATAGAATCCTACACACATGAATTAGAATGAAGAGTCTTCAACAACACGCAACAATATGATGAATCTCACATCACAATGCAGGGTGAAAGGTGGCCAACGCACATGGGTCTACACCATCTGATTCTACTCACGGAAAATGTTTAAACAATTAAACTCTTCTGCATTGTGGGAAATCGGGGTCATGGTTGCCCATGTGGGAAGGGGCAATGATCAGAAGGGAGCACAAAGGAGGGTCCTGGATTGTTCGTTGCTTGGGTTTTTCAGTGAACTCGATGCATGATGGAGGCTACAATAAATTTAGAACAAGTGATACATATATGACAAAAGTATTACAGATACTATGTAGAAAGCTAGGCCAGAAATCCGCTTCTCTTCCAGATTTTAGTGGCCCTGCTCTCGTACAAGGTCATTCCCTAATTTTAGTCCTACACACACACACACACACACACACACACAAATGAATACAATTAAAACTGACGAAACTTGAATAAGATCAATAAATTATATCAATCTCAGTATCTTGGTTGAAATTATACTATAGTTATCATTGGGGGAAACTAGGAAAAGTATACAAGGGACCTCTCCATAATATTTCTTGTATTACATGTGAATCTGCACTTACCTTGATAAGAATTTTTTCAAAAGAGGGAGTGCCAAATAAGCACAAGAAAATATATTAATTTCCAAATATTAGGCACTATACCAAGTCAATGGTATCATAATGTCTTGGGTTGCTGAAAACCTGTACTTTCAGTGTGTACTCTAGGTAATATACGCTAAGGCAAGTACTGTACAGTAAATTGACTAGCTATGTAAAAATAAACATGTCTTTTATTTATTTTCTTAATTATTTTTACATGCATTTATTGTTGAAAGTATTGTTGAAAGATGTTCCCCCTTTTATTCCCTCCACCCCGCTCCCAGCCCCCCTCCCCAGGCCTTCACCACACTATTGTCTGTGTCCATGGGTTATGCATATATGCATAGAAGTTCTTTGGTGAATCTCTTCCCTCCCCACCCCTTCCCTCTGAGATTAGTCAGTCTATTCCATGCTTCAGTGTCTCTGGATCTATTTTGTTCATTAGATTTCATGTATAAGTGAGATCATGCAATACTTGTCTTTCTCTGATTGGCTTATTTGCTTAGCATAATACTCTGGAAGTCCCTCCATGTCGTCTCAAACAGTAAGAGATCTTTCTTTATTATAGCTGCATAGTATTCCATTGTGTAAATGTACCATCACTTTTTTATCCACTTATCTATTGATGGACACTTGGACTGTTTGCAGATCTTAGCGATTGTAAATAGTGCTGCTATGAACATAGGGGTGTGTATATTCTTTCTGAGCCAGAGCACCTTTGTCACAGGCTTATATATTAAATATAAATATATATTGGTTTTTAGGTGACCTTATTTCACTCTAATTAATCAATGTTTGTTGGCTTTTTATAAAAAAAATCTACCTACAGTAAAAAGAATAAAATACTTAGGAATAAATTTAACAAAATAAGTGCAAGGCTTGTACACTAAAAACTGCAAAAAAAAAAAAAAAATCACTGAAAGAAATTTTAAAAAGACCTGAATAAATGGAGAGATTTTTCTGTAAGTTTAAAAACTAATTTTGAAGTCAGCTACCATAATAACCACCATTTATTTCAAGAAGTAGAACATCATAACCAGTGCCTCAAAATCGCCCACATGCACTTTAAGAACGAACAGCATCTTTGGACATTATCCCTCACTCACTTAATTTTATCTTTTTAGGAAAGTTTTTTTTTTTAACTGAATTTCTTTATAATTCACCCAGCTTGTCAAATAAAATTGATTAAGGATATCTTGTGTTCCAAGCATCCTTTTAGACTCTGAAGGAGCTTATATCCTAATGATGAAGATACATAATGCATACATAAGGAGTAACACAAATGTAATTATAACTGAAGGTAGGACGTGATGGTGGCTTGAAGACAATATGATAAGAATTGGGATATATTTTTGAAACAGTGCCACGGGGCTTATTTAACAATTCATTTACCTGGATTGTTAAGGTGGGAATTCTCCCAAATTGATCAAGCTCTTCAACACAATTCTTATCAAAATGTTAGCTGTCATTATGGGAAAAATTGACAAGCTGATTCTGAGTGCATACTAAAATGCAAGGGACCAAAAAGGAGCCACAATTATCTGAAAAAGGAAGAAGGAAGTAGGAGAACTCACACTTCCTGATTTCAAAGCGTACGAAGTTACGGTAATCAATACAGTGTTATATTGGCATAGAGATCAATAGAATGACATTTAGAATCCAGATATAAACCCTTACATTTATGCCCAATTGATTTTCAGTGGGCGCCCAAACAATTCAGTGTAGAAAGAATAGTCTTTCAACAAATGAGCCTGGGAAAATGTGATAGCTACGTACAAAAGAAGTGAATTTGGACCCCCTTACTTTAGTATATATAGAAATCAACTCACGTAAATCTTATAGCTAAATATAAGAGCTAAAATTGTAGAATTCAGAAAGAAAATATAGGTGTAAATCTTTATGACCTTGAATTAGGTAATGGTTAACTAGATATGACATCAAAGATCAAGCAACCAAAGAAAAAATGGATAAGTAAGATTTCATTAATATTAAAAACTTTTCTTTTTCAAGGACACTACAATAAAAAAGACATAGAACATTTTAACAAATATAGAAATTAGAGCACTTATTCTTTGCCAGCGATATTATAAAATGGTGTGGTAACTTTGGAAAACAGTTCAGCATTCCTCAAAGAATAAAATATAGTTACCATACGACCCACTAATTTCAGTCCTAGATAGATACCCAAGAGAACTAAAAACATTTTCACACAGAAACTTGTTCACAGCGACATTATTTACAATATAAAAAATGTAGACAGAGCTAAAATATCCATCAACTGATGCTAGAGTAAACAAAATATAATATCCATACAATGGAATACTATTTAGTCATAAAAAAGAATGAAGTACTAGCACATGCTGAAACATAGATGAACCCTGAACACAATATACTACGTGAAAGAAGCCAATCACCAAAGACCATGTAATGTTTGATTTCATCTTATGAAATATCCAGAATAGGCAAGTTCTTAGTGACATAAAGATGATGAGTGGTTGCCAGGGGTGAGGAGGGGAGAATGGGGGTGAGGAGAGGAGACTGCTAATAGGTATAAGATTTCTTTTAGTGGTGATGAAAATGTTCTGAAATTAAAAGGTGGTGATGTTTGCACGACTCAGTGAATATATTAAATACCAAAACATGAGCTGAATTTCATGGTCTTTGAAGTATATCTCAATACTTTTTTAAAAAACATCTACTTAGCCCTGGCCGGTTTGGTTCAGCGGTTAGATCATCGGCCTGCGGTTCTGAGAGACCCGGGTTCGGTTCCCGCTAAGGGCATGTACCTCGGTTGCAGTTTGTCCCCGGCCCTGGTCGGTTGTGCGGGTGGCAGCCACTCGATGTGTTCCTTTCACATCGATGTTTCTCTCTCTCTCTCTGTTCCTCTCTCTCCCTCCCACTCTACCTGAACAACAACAACAAAAAATCTGCTTAGCCCTGGCCGGTTTGGCTCAGCGGTTAGAGCGTCGGCCTGTGGTCCGGAGAGACCCGGGTTCAGTTCCCGCTAAGGGCATGTACCTCGGTTGCAGTTTGTCCCCGGCTCTGGTTGGTCATGCAGGTGGCAGCCACTTGATGTGTCCCTTTCACATCGATGTTTCTCTCTCTCTCTCTTCCTCTCTCTCCCTCCCACTCTATCTGTACAAAAAATGGAAAAATGTCCTCAGGTGAGGATAAAAAAAAATAAAAAAAAAAAATCTACTTAGTGTTCCTAGTACAAATTGTTTATATTATAATCATTTTCAAATCAGATCCTTCATGCTGATGTAAAATGGTAAGGCCGTGTTTTCTTGCATCAAGAACAACTACTGTCCACAGTCAGAGTATTTGACTCTTGACCAGAGGAATTTTGCTTTTCTAAGATATGTGTCCTGAGAACAATAGTGATAAATTGACATGGTGAAATGCCAAGTTGCTGGTAAGGGACTGTTCAAGGAAAATGCTCCCATTTCTCGAAATTAATCTGTAGACTATTAAGTTAATTGGCTGTGTGATTTGATGGAATGAATGCTGGAGGAGACCTCGGAAAATCTTTCTTCACATCTCACTGTACGACCTTGCACTTGTCAGTTATCTCTCCACATTTGTTTTCGTATCTGTCCAGTAGAATATCAATACCTGCCCAAAACGTTCATAAGATTTTCAAGCAAATCAAATGAATACAAGATGTGAAGGTACTTTGAAATGGACAGCGCTATAAAAATAGGAGACATTATTTATTTAGCAGTCTTCATTTTTCTTATTCTGTCTTGATTTTCAAAGAAGGGGAACATAAGGTGCTAAGTTAAATGGTTCCTTGTGGATAGTGATTGAAAAGGCCTGGCTTTCTTCTTGAGGAAGGACATGGCTTGGACTCAAACTTGACCTTGTGTGACATGAACGGGTAGGATTTTGTAGAAAACTGTTATAATTTTTTTAATGACTCATTCTGGCAGCAGGAGAATGATGTGGAAGCAGACAGGTTAGTGTCAATTAAACACGAGCTGTCAGGAAGGCAGAAGTGCTGAAGTATGGTGAGCGGGAATGCTAAGCAGATCACATGGCAGCTGCTCAGCTGTTATTTTAACAGAGTCCCTGTCTGTATGTGTCATTTTCCTGCAAAATTTAATTTGAATCCTTAACAACGGAGACATCTCTGCATTAGCATGTTGCTGTCAAGTTGAACTTGGACCTTCTAAATGAGCGAGAATGGTGGGTGGCAGTGGACGAGTGGCGTGCGGGAGATAGCTCTCTGTCATCTTCCTCCGCTCAGGTTACATCGAAGAGGCCTGCATCATCCCCTGCCCCTCCGACTGCAAGCTCAGCGAGTGGTCCAACTGGTCCCGCTGCAGCAAGTCCTGTGGGAGTGGCGTGAAGGTTCGGTCCAAATGGCTGCGTGAAAAACCCTACAATGGAGGAAGGCCTTGCCCCAAACTGGACCATGTCAACCAGGTATTTTCTACCACTGGGAATAATAGAGTATTGTGATTAAGACTGATAATGATCTATTGTCTCCAAAATGGACAAAAGTAAGTAACAGCCCCTGAATTAGAAATTGAACCCATTTTCTCTCTAGAGTTGCCTGTTTCAATACATGTATATTTTTAAAATCCCAAGTCAGACATATTATTTCTGTATTCTCAAGAGATTTAGTACCCTGCATATATATATGCACTCGAATGTAATTCAATGAAAATTAAATGAAACCTACCTTTGAAATAACGTCAAGGTATTTAACCTGTCATAAAATTATGTCTAACTCGTGCATTAGAGCCAGATTGTCTCATTCTTAGAGTCCCCTAGACTCTCAGAAAAGACATCTCAATCACCAACTACTTAAATTAAAATCAAAGAAAGCCTATAGATCCGAGTCTAAAACCAGGAAATATATACTGTACATTCATTTAAATTTGGTTGATATAAAATATGTTTAAAAATATAAAGATGGCCCCAAAGTCACTGTAAGCATGTTATCTATCAATTTACTCATTGGCTATTTTAATCTTATTTTGATCTTTAGTTTATTTCAGATGCATTTTATTAGTTGCTATTAATAGTTGTCACTTGTGTTCTATTGGAAATATAAAGTAAAGGCTAATACAAGGAACTGTCACTAATTTAAATGTAACATAAGATGCATCCGACAGTTATCGTATTTGGCCTACATGTGAATTAATAAAGAATGAATTTCATAGAGTATGTGTAGATGTCAAGATGTGTATTTAAATCTAAGTCAGAATCAAGTGAACCGACCTTAAGTGTGTAGATATATTTTATACATATGGACTATCTAATTTTAATCTCCAAACATACTGTTTACCAGTACACAAACTTTCCTTCCCAAATTAAGCTACATTTGTTCATAACAATAAAAATACACTGTAGAGAAAAAAATTTAAAACCTTTTGAATAAAGGGAGTAGAATGAAGAAAGTGCAGAATTAAATTCGATAGAAAGTACTCTGAAAGAATCTTGATTTTCCCCCAAGTAGCTGAATTTGCCTTAAAATTCAGCAGAAAGCGAGTAATGTACTACACTGCTGCCATCTATTGGTAATCGAGTTTCCTTGTTTTAGAGACTGTTTCCAAACTAGAAAATTTAGCGCCATGACCCAAATGAAACAGAATGACTCACATGTACTGTTTGTAATACAAAACAATATCTTTCTGTAAGTTTTTAAATCTTGACTTTCCAATAGTTTTAAAACATTTAAATTTTAATAAACTTTGATCCATGGTTCTGATAAAAAGAAATTTTCTTTAATGATGGATTTACCAAGGTTCAGGACCTCGTGCCAAGTTGTGTTTGCTATGGAAAGTCTTCCCCTGAGCTGTTTCCCCGTCACTCTCCAGCTCTGATGCCATCTAATGCAGAGCTTGGTAAGGGCATCTGGGTACTTGTTACCAGCTCACTGGTGGTATATTGAGACAGTAACAGCTGAAAAATCAAGGCTAAAACAAAAAAATAATATATTCCTGAATATTTGGCTTTGAGCATAAATGTTCTATGTTTATGAGGATTTCTATATTAGTAAAATACTAGAGAAGTAAAGAAGACGCAGAGGTTTGTGTCAGTGTTGAAAACTGTTAAGTCACAAAGATTTTTAACTACTATACATTTCTCGATATGATCCGAGGTACTTTGACTTGAAAATGGTGTGTGAGGTTCTGTTTTCCAATTGAGGAAGCAAATTCTCATTTCTTAAGAAATATGGATGGATGGATGAAGATGGATAGATTTATCAATAAATCAGTCAGTCTATAGATAGTCTGTTTGAATCACAAGACATTTGCAGTTATATATCAGTTCCCCGTGGTAAGTACTTTGAGGTCTGTTCCATTCTCTGAGATGTCTTCATCCTGCCCACCTAATACTTTCCTGGATTCTGCTGTTTACAGTATTTATTTGTGTATCCTAATTTTAGACAATGAGCTGTTTTTTCTCTCTCAAGGCCTAAAAGAAGTGTTCTAATTATTAAACAAAAAATACAGGCTTTTCTATAGGGATAGTAATATTTGAAACTTGCAACATGAGTTTTTCTCACTAAATATACTGATATTTTACTTATCTTTGTCTCTCTCCCTGTCTTGATTCCTGTTGAATAACCATCCCAGGCACAGGTAAGAACTCTTAAACCTCACAGTTCATAACAGAGTGCTTCTTGTTTTCGGTTTTACTCTTGATTTCAGAGAGTGCATGTTTCCCTACAATTTTCTTTTATCTATTACAGGGAGAAAATATATTTTCCATAAAATTTGTGTTCCGCAGATGTTCCCTTTCTATTTCCTAGCACGCTACCTGTATTTTTCTCGTTGTAGAATCAGGGCCTGGGGTGCAGGGGTGGGGAACGAGCTTTGCTTCGCCAGCCTTGAGCAGGCAGTGCCACCTCCGTGAGGTCTTGGGCTTCTCGGGGAGAGCGAAGATGCAGGGCCGAGAGCGGGGTGCTCTGCACGGCGGAGGATGCTCTGCACGGCTGTGTTCTGTGTTCCCTCCAGTGTAGGAGACTAAACTGCAAGCCATCGGGGGGATCAGTGAAGATGGCATTTTCCCTTCTGTTTCCTCCCTGCCCTACAAGTTGTAATGCTTTACGCATTAGAAGTGAGCCGTGTTTTAATACAGCACCCACTGCGAAGGTGATCACTTAGACCCTAAGTATAGACTCTTAACTGCAACAGTGCATATTTTCTATTATTATTTGGAATAAGTTTACTTTGTTGCTTTACTTGGGTGTTCAGCCCACTAAAATTTACCCAGAAGAATAACTCCAAAGAGCTATTTAAATCTACAGCCTCTGTAATTAGTTACATAAGCATTCGTATTGAAAAACATTTCTCTATAGTGGTTGAGTCAGCTCTGTTGTGGTGGATTGGGATCTGTGTAGTTCCTTTATTTAGTCATTCTTCTCATTGAAAAAAGAGCGTCATTGTTCATTGTCTAAAAATCCTGGAACCAAACAAACGTGGGGCTGGACGCTCTTTTGGATACCAGGGCACAAACGATGTGCTTGGCTTCGAGTGGCCCTCGCTGCTTTAGGCTGTCGCTCTGTAATATGAGACCAATTTCAGACCTTGCCTCCGAGCCCTAACCGAGGACCGAAGATAGCTTTATTTCATGGGATGCATCCTCCCAGTTAGTTTCATAAGTGTAAGTTCTCAGTGTTGTACGTATTTGAAAAACAAGCCAAATTATATTTCCTTGAAAATAGCCACTTTTATACACTTATTAATCCATTCATTCATTCATTCATTCATTCATTCATTCATTCATTCAACACATCTCTATTGATTGCCCAGCATATGAGGACCTTGGGGTAAGAACTGAAGACACACAAAACTGTAAACAAGACCCATGGCCCAGGAAATTATAGTACTGGCTGGTAATGTTTTCGAGTTTGGAGTCCTGGGATTCCCCGAGATAGAAATCAAGAGTAACCGCCCGAGAAATTTCCAGACAGATTTTACTAAGCAAACACAGGGGAGGCAGCCCAGAGAACAGGAAGACCCTCCAAACTGACTGGGAGGGGCTGGTCTGCTTGGCAGCTTTCATAAGCCGGGGACAAAACAGGCCTGTGCACCAACGTGGGCTTTTTGAAAAAGATGGACTTACGAAATTTCCCTTGTCAGGGTCAAGCTACTCCCTCCTTCTGTCCAGTTGAATAGCAACTGTCTTGGTGCCTATGAGAGCCGAGGTGGCAGAGTGCTCACTGCTGCCACCCCCAGGAGGTCGGCGAGCAGTCAAACCTTGGTCAACGGCATGTGCAGAACAGTGGTTTTGACTTTTGCAAGCAAGTAAGCAGTTCGAAGGAAGATAGGAAAGCCTACTTTGTCATTCTTGGGCTAGAAGGAGCCAGGGTGGGGACATTTTTCAGCTAGCTTCTCGGGTGTTCCTTCTGGCCATCTGGTATTCCTTTGTCCTGGGCCCAAGTCCCTGTGCTGTCTCTGAAGTCAGTACGGGGAAGTGGGTAATGTGGCAAATGTGGTCCAGCTGGTCAGATTGACAACAGCAGTGTAATAATGGAGCAAAGAGTATGACGCAGCTAGTTCTGCCCTTTTTCATACGAGGGCTCTCAAGAAATGTCAAATAACAAAATAACATCGGAGAGAAATAAAGGTAGCTAAAATAAGAATATAATGATTATTATGATGTAAAGCTTCCCACTCATCAGGAACCTGAGGCGAGATCGCTGAGACCTGCGTGTGTTTCAGGTGTACGAGGTTGTCCCTTGCCAGAGTGACTGCAACCAGTACCGATGGGTCTCAGAGCCATGGAGTGTCTGCAAGGTGACCTCTGTGAACATGCCAGACAACTGCGGAGAGGGCGTGCAAACCCGAAAAGTGAGGTGAGGCCAAGTCCCGTCGCACAGAGAAGCAAAGCGCACACCACCTCCCCGTTCCGTGCCTTCCCGGTCTCCCGATAAACTGCCTTTAGTTTTACTTTTAGGGAATCTGCGTGTTCATGGAACACTCAAGAAGGATCTGCTTCAAGCAGCCGTTTATCATATCCAGCCTTCTGATTTAGGAAGGCCGAAAACCAAGGCTGATTTTCAAACCCCAATGACTTTTTCCTTAAAGGCCAAATATATTTCTGACTGCATTGGAATGGTAATCTGTTACAAACTTTCGCTCCTTTACATCCAACCGGCCAACTTTTGAATGCTTCTGTCTGTTCTGGGAAGCCTTCCCTAAAACCCCATTGGCTAATGCCTCTCAGTTCTTCTGGGGCCACTGTGTCTGGAAGGGTAGCCACGAGCCACATTTGGCTCCTTTCACTTTAAATTTAAACTAATTGAAATGAAAAATGTGTTTCCTCGGTCACATTTCAAGTGCTCGGTAGCCACAGGGGCTCTTGTATCAGACAGCCCCGCGCGTCTGTCATCAGAGAGTTCTGCTGGGCAGCCCTGTTCTGGGGCAGCCCACATACCCTGTGTTGTTTTGAAAAGATCTTTTTACGTGTCTGTCACTGTTATTAAACCCCATACTTTCTCCACATGGGGACCCTGTCCTAATCACAGAAATTCCCTAACACCTACTACACGTCTCACACTCATTACATTCCCTCTACCGTCTTTGCGTATGATCCTTATGGGTTCTAGAACCAGGGACACAAATGTAGGGGCCTTTGTTGTTTCCACTTTGTCGAGTAGATTCACAAATATTAGTTCACCAGGAACACACATCTAATAAAGTGACACGGTGGCATTCAAAGCTAAGTCTTGCCAAGTTGCTGTCAGTTTCTTCTAACCCAGGAAAGACACATATCCAACACCCAGAACTCGGCAGCCCGTGTTGTGGAGGAACTCATTCTCACCCATGACCCCCCTCTCTGGATCTGAGATTCATAGGTTTTAATCTCTTTCAGCAGGAAAGTAGAACAAATTGACATTTGTCTCTTACAACCTTGGCATGCTGTGTATGACTTTGCTTCCAACAAAAATACATTGTATTTCTTTTTTCAAAAGCCCATCTGAACTCTCAAGTTATTTTTCTGAGGAATTTTTTTTTAAGGTGGATGGGGTGGGGGATGTAATGAGTTGATAGGGGAACAGGGAAGGAAAGGAAATAAAGTATTTTTCTGTCCTTCTCCAAAATTTAAAATTTCACCTTCAATTTAAAAATATTTTCTTATATTAAGAATTCGATCAAGTTGATTTTTTTGGTTAGTAAAAATATATATATAATAAAGAACTACTGTCCTTTCCGCTTTTCCCTCAACTATCTGTGTACATGTTGCTTCGTTTTGCTCTTATTTCCAAACACATCCTAAACTAAGTAACTTTTCAGATCAACGTATTTTTTCTCAGGAAACATCTTTCATGCAAATAGAGAAAAGAGAAGGCCAGCATTGATGTGATCTCTGATCATTTAATAATAACTCTGTACTGATTGAGTATATACCTCCCTAACCTTATCCTCCGCTAATTCGGGTCAAAGCACCCTGCTTAGATCAAAGCATTGGGAGACTTTTAGGACACATGAGTCCGTAAGAGGGCAAGACTCAGCATATTCCATCTCGTTCTTTCTCTTGAAGGATGGAATGACATTTCAAAGACTAGGTGAGAAAACTGATTTGCTCTGGTGGGAAGAGAGATTTTTTTCACTGGCATTTTTTCTAAGTGCCAGTACATTCTGATAATAAAAAGGAGTGATTTGGTTATTTTTATTGTTGCTTTTGAACTCTCTGCTGACCGTGCACCTCCTATCCCTACACCTGTGCCCTACCCTTTGCCTGCCGCTTGATTCCACACGGTTTTCTAATACAGTTCAATTTTCTCACAGCACAGTCCCTTTTCGTGCAAAAAGTAAAAAGGCCAAGAATTTGGGAAAAGCAAGTGAATTTAATAGTGCCTTCCTTTGGGATCAAAACTTGATCCAAATACTTATTCTCTATTCTAGAGTAATAGAAATATCAATACCAAATAAAATACATAAAACAAATAATTTGAATGTCAACAATAAGAGTTTTTAGCAACCGTGGCACATTCAAATGATGGACTTCAAATGTAGTCATTAAAAAGCATAATTTAGAGAAATGGTTAACAACACGAGAAGATGTCTACAATATATTGTTGGGTGTGTTTGTTTTTCCTTAAATGGTACAAATAGCAGGTAAAGTTTTCTCATATTTAATGAAATGAAACTATATGTTTAAATATAATAGTCTTTTAAGAGGACAGACTGATAGATCTCTGTGAATTTTTATTATTGAGTCTGATTTTCTTTTTTTTTTTTTATCCTCACCCGAGGACACTTTTCCTTTTTTTTTTTTTTTTTGATCAGATAGAGCAGGAGGGAGAGAAAGGAAGAGAGAGAGAAACATCGATGTGAAGGAACACATCGAGTGGCTGCCACCTGCACGACCAACCAGGGCCGGGGACAAACTGCAACCGAGGTACGTGCCCTTAGCGGGAACCGAACCCGGGTCTCTCTGTACCGCAGGCCGACGCTCCAACCGCTGAGCCAAACTGGCCAGGGCAAGTCTGATTTTCTTAAAATGAATGTTACCTGTATAATACAAGTTAAAGGAGGAGAAAAGTCTTTGAAAATGAAGCTTTATGTGCACATTACATAATAGAGTATTGAACATCTGTCCTTAACTCTGAATCAATAGGTAACTTTGCCAGTTAATCCTTGTACCTGTCAGTACCTAGCACGGATGCGATCTCAGCAGCAAGCCCCACTCTGAGCGTTGAACTGCCCCACGGTTCCAGGTCCCCTCAAAGCTGCCATTGGCAGAACATTTTTAAAAATGTCAATGAAAGTAAAACTTGTCCAGAAAGACTAAAATTCTCCCAAGGCATTTATAATTTACTTTTTTCTTCCAACAAAGAAGTCCAATATCTTCCTTCGTGTGGTATTGTGACTACTCTTTCACGTCTTTATGACATTTACCAAAAATGCAGAGGAGGATATTTGTATAGATATTTTTTCAGGTCACAAACCTAATTAAGACATGAGCAACAGCACCGTTCTCTAGTCTGAAGGCATCTCCCAAGAAAACAACATTTGTTTTAAATTAGGCAGCACTGTGTAGAGAGGTTGTTCTGCAGAGTAGATATGAAAAGATGCAAAGTCCCTACAGATTGTAAATTCCTGAAAAGAGTTGAGATTTTAGGTATAATCGGTAATGTAATTCAACTAACAGTTTAAAACATTGCAATGGGTTTGAGAGGCTTAAGATCTCAAGCCTTGCCCTGGCCAGTTTGGCTCAGCGGTTAGAGCGTCGGCCTGTGGTCCAGAGAGACCCGGGTTTGGTTCCCGCTAAGGGCACGTACCTTGGTTTCAGTTTGTCCCCGGCCCTGGTTGGGTAGTGTGGGTGGCAATCGCTCGATGTGTCCCTTTCATATTGATGTTTCTCCGTCTCTCTTTCCCTCCCACTCTATCTGAACAAAAAATGGAAAAAAAATTTCCCCCGGTGAGGATAAAAAAAAAAAGATCTCAAGCCTTTCTGTTCATCTCTGGCAATGCAGTTTGGTTCCTCTACCCATGAATTTGGTTGACCTTCCCACACTGTAGATGAAGATCAAGTTTTTCTCTTCTACTAAAAAAATGCCCAGAGAATTCACTATGATACAAGTGAAGTCTGGTACTAGCCACATTAAGTAGATTCCCAAAGGTGGATGAAGAGCCCTTCACAAATGCTTGCAATAGAATGAAATGTAATAAAATGTTTCGATTTGTTCTGTTAAAAAGAAAACTAACTGTTAAAAAAAAAAAAGGTCAAGATATAGGAAGATTCAAACTACGTTTAGAGAATCTGTGCTGTTACTATTGCAATTGTCTTTTCACTCCTGGCTTTTTTGTTGTTGTTGTTATCAGCAGGTGGAAGGGTAAATACCTTTTTATTTGACAAAACAATTCGATAAATGCCATCAGTTTCTTTCAGAAACCCTTTATGACATCTCTCACTAGGAGATTTCAGTGTGCCTGGTCTTCCATCATGTGTAAATCTCCCTCCACTACAGAATCCACCATTTTCTTAAAGAAAAAAAATGCATTATATTCCAAAATTACAACCCCTCTATGAATCTCTTTGGACCACTCCTCATTAGTCCTACATCATATATGAGCGTAAATGACCCTCTCCTCTCAGAAGAAGACATTTCAAATGTATATACTCACAATGGCTCTGATTTTTTAAAATTGTAATGACACCTACAAGGATAATTTTAAAAATCATACCAAAGCTCTACGAGCATTTATGGTAGGCAGAGATCCTTTTATGTCTTTATGTTTGAAGAGTTTTATTCACTAAATGCAAAGCTTTCCACCACCACCACCCTCCAACCCCATGATGATGTCTTAAGTTGAACCATCTATCCCATAGGTTGGCCATTGCTATAATTGTCCTGGTTCCTTCACCGATAGGCATGTTTTCTTCTAGATGCATGCAGAACACGGCTGATGGCCCTTCCGACCATGTAGAGGATTACCTCTGTGACCCAGAAGAGATGCCCCTGGGTTCTAGAGTGTGCAAATTACCATGTCCTGAGGATTGCGTGATATCCGAATGGGGTCCATGGACTCGATGCACTTTGGTGAGATGATTAGCCATTTATTAATATGGGGTTTGCCTGATTCCTTAGCACTAACACTTTAAAGATATGACTAAGAAAATCATAGTTACTGAATTACTTACCCAAGTAGTTGCCAGAGCAAGGTGTGTTTTCTTGGTTACTTCATTCTACGACTGTGCCATTTAAAGTCAGCAGTATTTCGACTCACAGTAGAACAGCTTGACCGCTCGCAAGCTTTATACTCCACCCTCGTCCTCACCCAGCACAAAACAGCCCTCAGACGGGCTTATAAATGCACAGCAGGCTAAGAACTGCAGTGGTGATAATGACTCCCTCCACGTAGAGGAACAAAGAATAAACCTCCAGTAAAGGTTGTTTAATGGTGTCAGGTTATTGTGATCCCTTGCTTTTTGCTGAATCCATTTGATTTAAATTGTAGAAATAATCTTTCACACAGTGTGGGTTCGGCAGCAGGGTTATCGACACTAAAACTCAAATGATCCTGGAAAGAGAGGAAGTAGAAAGAAGAAAGCTGTGCATCAGCGAATGTCTTTCCACACACTGACTCTGTGTGTCTTTGGGCCTGGGAGGCCAGCTGAGAGTCTCCAATCACACAGAGCTTCTAGATTTCAGCAGCCGTAGGGGCTCTTCCATGGGACCCTGGGAAGAGAGTCATTGGAAACAGAACTGGCTGATGATGTCGAAAATTGGGTTTACCTCTGAGTACCTTTGTAAAGCTGCACATTTCAAAGTAGCATCAAAAGCATAGGGGAAATGCATGTAATGTGGAATTAATTTGCCGAAATACCATACAGGATAGTTTAAAAAATGTTTAATGCACGTTTTCAAGGAAAAATTAAATTTCTTTCTCAGTGTTAACATTACTAAACGTGCCGATGAGCAGCCAACTGATAAGAGCAGGAGCCAAACAGGACTGGCAGTGAACTCCAGATCATTAAATTGTAACAAAGAATCAGTTGTCTCACAAGCATATGCAAAAGGTTTTCTAATTCCATTAGCATCAGGTTTGAAGTTGCTGCTCCTGTTCTTAGAAGCAAAGTGCTTTCAGAACAAGACTGTACCAGTAGGAGAATGCAAGCCAGTCTTTTAAGTGCTTGTGTTTGTGTGTGTGTGTGTATGTGTGCCTTAGGAAAATAAATATCACTAACAGCTAGGTATTTAAAGTCACCCTTAAAATGTTTTTTGGGACCAAGAGACTGTATTAGATAGATAGATAGATAGATAGATAGATAGATAGATAGATAGATGATAGATAGATAATTTATGAATTAGTGATCTACACTAATTAGTATGCCCATATGTATGTGTTTGTGTGCCTGTGATGTGATGTATCTATTACTATTTGACACGTAGACCCTTAAGCACCGTATAGCTAGGTGGGACATCAGAAGCTCACCCAATGCTTTGATCACATGGAAGAAATGGAAGTGTAATGAGATCGTTCACGTTGGCCAGTGGCCCCAGCGTGCTGACTAACCCTCTGCAGTGCTCTAACACATTAGCCCTGGTGTGGCGGAGTGTTCGCCTGTTTGAGGAGTTGTGTTATTCTCTGCCAGCCTTGCAATCAAAGCAATTTCCGGCAGAGGTCAGCTGATCCCATCAGACAACCTGCTGACGAAGGAAGAGTGTGCCCTGATGCTGTTGAGAAGGAACCCTGTAACCTGAACAGAAACTGCTTCCACTATGATTATAATGTAACAGGTACGTGAATAGTCCTTCTTGTCACGGAGTGAACGCCCGTGTGTGGCAGCTCAGCCGCGTGAGTATTGTTGATCTGCACCTGTGAGCCTTCGGGGCACGCTGCTTACTCTGCCAGAAATACTTCTTTATTAGTGACAGAGATATTTATCTATTATATGTTTTAATAAGCATCAAGATACAGATAATGAAAATATCGTGCAAGCATTAGTCCTGTGGTAGACTGTGAATACTCTAATTGATCCTGTTTAAGACATCCTCTAACTTTGCAAGGTGTAAATAAGATACGTTTCCTGTGGGTATCGGGTTTATTGAAAGATGTCTTTCTTCTTCTGAAGATGTCTGATTGCTGTAGCATACTGGGACAACGATTCTTCGCGTGGGGGCGGTTCATAAGCATGTTTGATCCGACGTGAAAACAGCAGCAAGCGTACCCTTGCCAAAAAGTGTATCGATATAACTATTTCAATACTATCAGAGGTTCAGATAAAAATGGATAGATGAGTATTTTTTTTCAGGACAAAAGGCTTATTATAAATTCCATTTCCCCCCTTAACCCTCACCTCCTACCATCAAGGCACGTACCCAGGGGAAGAAGAGAATTTGTTGGTTTCTATGAGTTGGGGAAACGCTGAGGCTTATTTTGGAATTTTTTCAAGTAATTCTTACAGTGACGTAAAGTACGGAAATTGTACAATGACTCAGCAGTCAGGTCAGCTTTCGTCTCATTTGGTTTTTCTCTTCAGTTTTTGTTGATGAACAAGGAAATCACGGTTCTTTGGGATATGCTGTGTTACTCTCAAAAGAAAGATGAAAGGATTATTTTGAAAATGACATGAAATAAGAGAATTAAATAAACATGACCAAAGTGATTTTGAAATAAGTACACATTTTTAAACATTCTCAGTACGGAAGTAAGTGAAGTACAGTGTTTTATTTGAACATAACACAGTTCAAGTACTATTCATTAAAATTATGGTTATTTTGCTAAAACAAAAATAATGTCAAAACTGAAATTTCTGCGCTTACAAGGAAAAAAGTTTTTAAGTGACCTTTGATCTGCAAGCCAAAACCATGTTTACAGTATCGCCAAATGGCTATCAAGATGGTCAAGTAGACATCTGCCTTCCAGAATAATCCCTGTAGCTACATGTAGCCCCCGCAATCCCCCCCGACTCCTGATGTGTTCGAAGCCGAGACCCAGATGCTGTGTGTGCGGGATGATTGATTGTGGGGCGTAGGAAGCAGTTGTGAATTAAATATGAGATTCGGGTCATCAGAGCTTCACTTGAAATCTGTTTCCTATACACGGCCTTCTGTTCCGACGGGCTCCCTCCCTTTCAGATTGGAGTACATGTCAGCTGAGCGAGAAGGCGGTCTGTGGAAATGGCATCAAAACAAGGATGTTGGACTGTGTTCGAAGTGACGGCAAGTCGGTTGACCCGAAACATTGTGAAGAGGTGAGGGGATGCGGTGTTATATCTTCGTGAGTAAGTTCCTTCCTAATCATTTCAATTCACACTGAGCCAAGTGGCCTGTGCTCCGTCGGCTGGTGGGCAGCAGATGATTCTCTGCACTACTCGGAGGCTGCTAGGCACCCTCTTGAAGAGACACTGTCCAACCCGACTGATCTCCACGCATAATTTCCTGCATTTTGTTCTGCTCGGGGCCCAAAGGTATGCTAATTACCCTGTTCGGAAAGAAATGCTTGGGGAACAATAAGTAATCAAGGTGAATGTAAGCAATAAATCTTAATCAGACTACTCATCATCTTTGTAATTTCATTTGAATTTTGTGTTGCCTGGGACACCTGCCAAGATCCATCATTCATTCTCTCTGTTGCTAAACATTGATCGCATGTGGTTTCGTAGCAGATTTTGATATTAGGATCTAATACCCAGCTGTGAGAGTTTAAGTCCTCAGGTGTGGATGACAGAGAGCTTGAAATGCAAACAAAGGAGTGAAGTCTGCCATCAGTATCTTTCAGGTACAAAGAATCATAATTCTTAATTCTTCGATTTACAGAAGTAATGACTCCGTTTCTAGATGGGACGTTGTGAAATGTGAGGAAACAGTTGTTGACCTTCCATAGTTTTCAAGAAGCTACATTTCATGTTTTAATTGTTTTGTCTGATTTCCAAATGAAAGGGTACTCACTTTCCTGAGAGGTTTTGACTCCTCCGGCGTCTGCGACCCACTGGGTTAAATATGAACCAGGGGGAACGGAAGCCTCAACAGGCCTGGAACACACAGGAAGAGCGTATGACCTCATTAGTGTTCAGTAGACATGGTGACCACGACTTCTGTCTGCACATCCTGGGGGTTATTATAAGCCCATGATAAACTTTTCCAGCTCCTACTGGAAATCTCGAGATGAAAATATGTTAATCCGTTTGAAATCTTTATCATGCAGACCTCACTTAATTTCCTTATAGCTCTGTCCATGTGATCATGTGAAGAGAGCTCCGAATGTGCTGAAAACAAGCTGTTTGATTAACAAATTTCTCTCGCTATCATCTTATAACATAACTTAGTCTATTTATACTTTCAATTTAATTAGACATTTTATACCTGAATCAATTTTGAAACTAATAACAGTGAAGTAATGGAACCATTATAAAAAATAATGTTATTATTAATGAATATTATTATAGTCATACACTGTCTGGAGAGTTTTCTGTGATCTACTTCTAGTTGATTAATATGTCTCTTTTCTTGAAAATTCACATATAAATGCCCTCCTGAGTCGTCATGAAATATGCAATGAATAGCTCTAAGAGCTTTTTGAAAGCGAAACCCAAATCATACAAGACCAATTTTAAAATAGCTCATGACTACAGAACAAAGGTATAAACGGGTCCTTATTTCTCAAATAAAACTTGTATAAAAACCTGACAAATTTATCCAGGAGACTAGATAAATTTACTCTGGGTACAAATATTCTTATGTTTGAACACTGTGATGACAATTAGGGATTTAAATTACAACAGTCTTGCAAACACTGTCTTCAGGGAGAACAGTACTACTCGCTGCAGGAATTGAATTAAACAACTCCTCTCCCATTAGCCATCCCTACGGATGCGGTAGGATCAAATAATAGCCCTGATAAAATTGGCTATCTTTTTAACGATGGATTGATTGCCTGGCTACTAATACACGCATAAAGCCTGCAGTCAGGGCCACAGCAGTAGCTAACTCTTGCTGTTTCTCTAACAGCCAAAAAGAAAAAACGGCATTATTCCCCAACAAAGAGGAAAATTGGGGTTAAACCCACCCAGTGGTTACATAGTATTTTTGTCTTTGATGTTTTTTAGACATTTACTCACCTGATGCCTAGTAATTGATTTCTCCTTTCCTATTCCTTGATCCCCAAGCAGATTTTTTTTATTAAACACATGTTTAGATAGATGGTGATGATGATAGATAGATAGATAGATAGATGATAGATAGATAGATAGATAGATAGATAGATAGATGGAAAAAGAGATACAATGAATGTAAGGAAAAAAGAAGTATAGGGTTAAAATGCCTCAGAAATGGATACCCAGAGTATCTATAAACAGACATCCTTTTTAATTTTCTAGTGAAATAAATAAATAGTAGTTCAATTCTGTGATTGAAACCCTATCTTTATGAAACTGTTATCTCCCTTAAATATAACGCATTATTTTTTTCATATCACCTCAAGACTCCCATGACTTTAAGTGACTGTGAGACTTTATGTAGTGATGTGTAAACACTTTCATACCAAATGCTCAGCTTCGGCAAGTCTTTCTGGGGGAGCACGTGTGGGAGAGCCTGCCAGGGGGTGTGGGACACACACACTGACTGTTCTTCTCCCTGTGACCACTGAGAGCAGGAGCTGTACTGGAACCACAGATAACATTTCAGAAAGTTTTCCTTTCACCGTCTTATAATATGTAAATTAGATACCCTAAACTTCTCTTTCATGCAAAAACAAAAGAGGTCGCGAAAATCCCAAGGATTGCCAATTTAAGAAATTATATTATCCTACAGTGCTCTTAAATTTGTCTATTTCAACGCTACTTTGTACCTTAGACTTTTTACATGTTTGCAAATACAAAAGGTGAGTTTGAAATCTCATCTTGTATTTTAAAAGTTGACCCATGCACCAAGAGGTCTCTGGTTCGATTCCTGGTCAGGGCACATGCCCAGGCTGTGGGCCCCATCCCCAGTGCGGGGCATGCAGGAGGCAGCCAATCAATGTTCTCTCTCATCAGTGTTTCTGTCTCTCCCTCTCACTTCCCCTTTCTCTAAAAAAAATTAATAAAGGAAAAAAAATAATAAAGCTTTAAAAGTAGAATATGTGAATAAATATTGGAACTCAGTGCTAATACAATGGCACAATGTTATTAGCTGATGAGAGATTAACGCTAAAATAACTGAATTATAGGACAGCTATGGAGATCAGTTTAGAAAAATAATCTTTGTAATTAAAAAATGTATACAAAGTACTAATAATCAGAAAAATTTTAGTGACCCAGATTTTCTTTTAAGGAGATAGCATACGTAAAGACTGATATTTTATATTGTTTCAATCCATGATGTCATGAGCTTTGAGTGGCAATTTGTCTTGAAAACCTGTCCCTTTTGCTTTTCAGCTTCAACGCACATATAAAAATAAGTAATGTCCCAAAGATACAATGATAGATCTGTATATTGATGACATTCTTGGGTTTCCACTAATGGAAAATAATGATGCTTACACTTATTTGTTCCTCACTTAGAGAAACTCAGCCTATTTGGATGTTAAGTCTATTCTTACTCATTGCATGTTTTAAAAGGTCAACACTACATAAGTATAGTGAGTAAATGGGCCCTTTGCTGCCACTCTCCTGGGTTGATTCACTTTATATTTTTCCAGTTTGGGTGTTTGTCCTCCTGATCTCTCTTCATTCTGTTCTGCCTCTTGCTTACTCTTCCTCTCTCCTCCTCTTCTTTCCTCTTATCCGCACTCTGTCTTTCCCTTTCTCCCACCCTCCTTCGGTCAACCATGCATGTGGTCCTGCCTTCATGTCGATGCAGACAGGTCTGCCTCTGTCCTTGCAGCTGGGCCTGGAGAAGAACTGGCAGATGAACACGTCCTGCGTGGTGGAGTGCCCTGTCAACTGCCAACTCTCCGAGTGGTCTCCGTGGTCCGAGTGTTCTCAAACGTGCGGCCTCACAGGTTAGCGTTCGACGGATGGTCAGAGAATCCAAACTAAAATGTTGCTCTTGCTTTCAGTCCTATCAAATAATTGTCAGTAAGATCGAATCAGGGTGTCTTTCCTTCCAAAACACCTGAGCCTTACGTGATACCTTCTCCCAGTGAGATATCTGCTTGCATGACCGTAACATATCACTTTGTATCTCTTAAAGGAAAAATGACCCGAAGACGGACAGTTACCCAGCCCTTTCAGGGTGATGGACGACCATGCCCTGCCCTGGTGGAACAGTCCAAGCCTTGCCCAGTAAAGCCCTGTTATCGGTGGCAGTATGGCCAGTGGTCCCCGTGCCAAGTGCAGGTATCAGATCTCCAGAAATCGTGTGGAAATGTGTGTTCTTTATGTGCAGAGACTTGGTTTCTGAATCATTTTTCAGAGCTTACACACAGCATGTTTCCTCTTAAAGATTTTAGGTGCCTGGCTATTTCGTAACTAGTTTAATTAGTGTTGATAACAAGCACCCCCTGTCCTGTATTTTAAACGTCATTTGGAGACTGATCCATTTAATGAAAGTGTATTTGCCTGCCTTTGGCTCGAAAACAAATACATTGTTCACTGTGTGCTCCTTCTGGCCCAGGGTTTGAAGTGCTTCCTTAGCTGCTCATAAATCAAAGTCAATGGTGCAGAGATGACAGTAAGTGATGAGCTCGCTGATGAATTATTTTCTTTTCCTAATTAGTTATTTCTTTCTTCATTCCAGGATGCCCAGTGTGGAGAAGGGACCAGAACGAGAAACATTTCTTGTGTAGTGAGTGATGGGTCAGCAGATGATTTCAGCAAAGCGGTGGATGAGGAATTCTGTGCTGATGTTGAACCCATTATAGATGGTAATAAAAACGTGGTCTTAGAGGAAACCTGTACCCAGCCTTGCCCAGGTAACCGCAGCAAAACGTAATTTATATTTTGATTGTTTCTTTTTCTTTTTTTTTTTTTTTATCCTCACCCGAGGACATTTTTCCACTTTTTGTTCAGATAGAGTGGGAGGGAGAGAGAGGAAGAGAGAGAGAGAGAGAAACATCGACGTGAAGGGACACATCGAGTGGCTGCCACCCACACGACCAACCAGGGCCGGGGACAAACTGCAACCGAAGTACGTGCCCTTAGCGGGAACCGAACCCGGGTCTCTCTGTACCGCAGGCTGACGCTCCAGCCGCTGAGCCAAACCAGCCAGGGCTTGATTGTTTCTTACCAGGACAGGGACCAAGAAGGGTTGCATGTATTGTCTACGTTAAGGGATGCCAGCAAACCTCTCATTCAGTAAGATCTGTGCCAACAGCCAGACACTGTTGTGTGGGTGATGGGGGCACTTCCTCCTGCTGCAGGTGGCGTTGAAGTCCACCATGTTGACACCCCTCCCCCCAGAGTTTTAACATCTGCAGAGCATGGCAATTAAGGCCTCAGGCTCATGTTTGACAGGGAACATAGGAAAGAAAAGTTGAGAAAGGATAGAACATACAGCTATTTAGGATGTCGACAAGAAAAGAATAGAAAATAACAGAAAGGCAGCAGCCTAACCATGATAGCAAAACAAAAAACGTAAGTCCTTATAATGAAAGCTAACTCTGGGTCTTACGTAGAATCAACAATGAATTTATACCTAGATACACCGTAGTTACAACCGAAAACGTAGAAAAATAGAGACTTATTAAAGCATTCAGAAAGAATAAAAACTAGATTACCTGCTTTTGGAAGACACAATTAGAATCGTAGCAGGATTCTTCTCAGGTACATTGGAAAGCCAAAAGGCAATGGAACACACAGTCATGTGTCACTTACCAGTGGGAAGTCGTTCTGAGCAATGCCTCAGCAGGAGATGTCATCGCTGTGTGAACATCCCAGAGCGCACTGCACACACCTAGCTGCATGGTATAGCCTAGTGCTTCTAGGCTACAGACCCGCGCAGCGTGTTGCTGGAGGAAATTGTCACACAGTGGTATTTCTGTATCTGAACCTAGAGAAGGTGTCGTAAAAGTAGAGTACAGAGGATTCAAAATGGTACACCTGGAGGGTGCACGTACCGTGAACGGAGCTTGCAGGACCAAAGGCAGCTCTGGGTGAGTCCGTGAGTGAGCGTGAAGGTCTAGGACATTACTGCCCATAATAGTGGATTTTACAAACGTGGTCCCACAAGCCCTCCCCCTGCTTCCTTCTGACAGGGCCAAATATAGAAGATCAAAGCTGCCGATGCTGTTCCATGAACAGGGCTGTGAGCTAAATTGATTGGAAATATCGAGGAGAAAATGGGTGGGCAAGGCCTAGACCACCATGACAGCGACGGTCGGGGGCAGGGAGCGGGCCTGAGGGTCAGCAGGAATTAGAAACCAAGACAGATAAGGGAACCCTGGGGACCGTCCCGGCCATGTGGTTTTGGCTATTGTGCGTTGGAGCAGTGGTCTGGTTAAAGAACTTTGTGGAGTGCCTAAACATAGAGGGTGTTCCACGTGGAGAGGACATAGAACTGGACTCAGTAGCGGGACTTTGACATGTTATTCTTGGTCCTGTTGAGCCCGTCTAGCACAAAGGCTCTCTCTGGCATTGAATTGGTGGAAGAAGTAAAACTCACCTATGCTTTACACGACTGCAATCTGGAAATGTTTCCAAAGTACAGAAACAGCTGGCTCCACACCACCAGAGGGAGCTTTTCTAAGCGTCAGTGGCCCTTAATACTTGTTTAAAGGTGGCTCCTGTGGACCTGTGTCCTTGTAGAAGGTCAACAAGAATGTACATCCCTGTACTCTGAAGACCATCAGGCTAGGGCGGGAGGCTGGAGCGCCCTCTGGATGGATAGTGCTTGGGGGACAGGCTTCTGTGAGCTGAAACAGGCCAGCGGCTGAGGGATTGAGAGGTGATCTGTGCCCTCAAACTTGAGGTGCTGTGAGTGAGAGGGAATCATTGCTAAGCCCCACAAATACTGCTCCCATCAGAGAAAAAAAAAATTCCTCCTCAACCATAAATCCTTCCATGTCTTACAGGAAATTCAGCTCCGTTAGGATATACGGGACTACCGTCATCTGTGCGGTCCGTTGTTGACCAAACCACCGGTAATGCAGTGCATACCTGTATCTGAAATGTGATGGAGAATAATCATCCACCTAAAATTCTGCCCCCTGCTAAATTATCATTCAAGAGTGAAAAAAAAAAATATTACAGAAGAAAGGATTGAAAGAAATCATTCTGATGCAATGTTGGACAGGAGGGGTACAAGCAGGAAAATGTGGGAAGCAAATGTCTATCAAACAGTACAAAACGATTTGGCAGACAGTGAGAAGCTAATATGCAGGAATTTGAGATCGATGCGGAGGACTTTAGGGCTGATAGGAGGTCAAAATAAACTCAATGTCAAGTATGAGTTTAAGGTCTTGAGAAAGATATGGAGGCAGCAGTTGTTTAGTAGACTAGCAGAGGACGAAATTGAAAGTGAATTACCTATATTTTACCCTCAAATGAAAAAATGTTATTCTCCCAATTTGCTTATAATAACAATAAGAAAAAAATATCTGTTTAAGAAATGTGTTACTTCATGTAAGATCTCAAAAAATAAATAAATAAAAATGAGGATTTGGCAAACAAATACTGACTGGGCATAAAATAGATTTTCTATAAAAAAGAATATAACTTAAAGTCTTAAGGATGGATAACTTACATATTTTCAAAAATGATTTTTTAACCGAATTAAGTCCCTTAAAGCTAAAAATGTTGACAACATGACTTGCCCATTTTATTCACTCATAAATTTACTTATTCTTTAATAAGTAAATGATTTGATGTGATAACAATGGCAGTTTCTATAGCTTATTAATATGAACTGAAAATTGAGCAAAGCAGTAAATAGACAACCCCTGCTACCTTGAAATGCTAGACTTGGCGGGCATTTCTCACTGTGTACATTCAGCTGTAATAATAGTTTTTGCACACAGTGATATTTTCATCTACTTAAGATTAAGGAATATATATATATATATATATATATATATATATATTTTTTTTTTTTAATCTGACTTTCTGGACCTAGGCAAAGTGTTGCATCTTAGACAGTCCCACACCTGCCAGGAATAACGTTTTCCTGACCCAGCAATTACCCCAGTCCATTTCCTGCTTCCCAAGCCGGCCCGATTCCAGTCCAGATCTCACACACGGTCTCAGTTAATAAAATCATTTTGCTTCACAGCAGACAGAGGTTGAGGCTGTGGCAGCAGGTTGGGACTCTGGACAGGGCCAAGGTTGGAACATAGGGGATTTGCTGTATTGATTGGCCACATTGTCAACAAAAGGTGACTGAAGCCAAAGGCTGGAAGACCTACACAGTCTAACACCAGATCTCCAGTGCCCATAACAGGATCATTGTGACACCCACAACATTGAGCAGAACTGGAATCCTTGCCAGGCGTTGGCATAGGCTTCACTGTGGAGTCTCGGCGCGTATTCTCATTATATTTCCTACAGCACAATCACCTATTTGATTATTGATCAAGTGTTGTTGTAGGCTAGGTTCTGGGTTCGAGGTTGCTGATCCAGTGGGAAACACAACAACCCTGTCCTCATAGAGTTTACCCTATAATGGAAGAAATTGGCTAAGCCAATAATGAGATAAATAAACATAAGATTAAAACCTGTGGCCAATGATGCAAAGAAAAACTGCACTCTCCCATAATGACATGGAAAAGGGCAAACACGCCTTCTGATTAAAGTCATCACAGATCCAGCAGGAGGCTGTTCTTCTCTTATCAGTTACAATCTATTCATTTCAGCTCCTCCAATGAAAGTGTCCTTCAGTGATGGGTTTTGAATGAGCAGTATGTGACCTAATAAGCTTTAAAGAGTAAAATGGAAATGCATTTCATACACTTAATTGTCATATCTTTGGCTGGCATAGTGTAGTTTATTATAACAATAGTTTATGTAGTCAAAATATAAAAGCAAATTTAGGACAAGACAATGTCTTGCTCTCATTTGCTGTTATTAATCTTTGAAGCCTGACATGGATTAATTGGGAGTGATTATGATACAATTCACAGACAGTCATTAAATGATTTATTGAATTTTGTTACAAAACACGCTATGTCAGGTGATATAAGAACAGAGATAAAGCCTTCGAGTAGAAAGGTATATTTTATTTCCATGTAGTTTGCAATCGTTGAGGTGAAGTTATATACCTTCATATTGACAGGAATATTTTTAATTTTAATATTTTCTCCTGCATAATTAAAAACTGAGTTACCCAAAAGTAGCATTTCCTAGGGGATAGAAATGTTTCTAAACCTTATCACAGTACTTAAAAATTTTTACTAGTTCCTTTTTTCTTAACACTTCCAAAATTTATGACGATTTTCTGTACTTTAGGATAATAATGGCATTAATGACATACTATAATAAAAGTCTACAAAAATCACCCCACTTTACTATTGTATATATGTATCTGTTAGTCAATAATTCATGTCTTTCTAGGGTTTCTTAATCATGGCACAAGAAGTTTCTTCATTAGTCAGGTATCCAGGTGACTTTGTGCTAATATTAGACAACTTCAGCATAATAAAAGGCTATATAAATTATTCATGTGATATGGCTGGAATAATTAAAGTGATAAGAACCCCTTGTGGATTTTTCTATCATAATTTACTGTATCCTCTGATGAACAATATCACCAAGCAGCCGGTCCTCAAGAATGGATGTGTAGCCCTGGCCAGTTTGGCTCAGCGGTTAGAGCGTCGGCCTGCGGTCTGGAGAGACCCGGGTTCGGTTCCCGCTAAGGGCACGTACTTTGGTTGCAGTTTGTCCCCGGCCCTGGTTGGTCGTGCGGGTGGCAGCCACTCGATGTGTCCCTTCACGTCGATGTTTCTGTCTGTCTCTCCCTTCCTCTCCCTCCCTCCCACTCTATCAAAAAAAAAAAAAAAAAAAGAATGGATGTGTACATGGGAAAGATGCATTTCATGAAATCTTTCCTGTTCTCAAAATGGTCGGAGATGTTGATGTTGAACACGTGATGCCCTGTGGCCCAGCAATTGCACTCTTAGGTATATACCCAGTAGAAAGATTCATACTAAATATTCATAACAGGAAAAATTTACAACTCTCCGCATGCTCATCAACAGCAGAATGGATATCTAAATTGTGGTAATTCATACATAAGAGGAAAGTACAGCAATAACAATGAACAAATTAGAATGGCATATGTACATGATGGATCTTGACCCGTCCCGCAGGTCGAGCAACGAGGACTCTAGAGGGGGAGTGAGGATGAGGAGGGACAAGAGACACGAGAAATGGAGACAAGACAGGGCTCTGATCAAGTCTCGTTTATTCAGGGGTAATTCACACAATATATAGGGCAAGAAGCACCTGTTGCCAAGCACCAGGCTTGCCCGAAGCAATTCTAGGAAATACTACAAATGGAACAAAAGGTCAGTAAAGACTGGCTGATGAGTAAATGGTTACTTAAAGAAATGCAAAATACAGAGATAAAGAAATGCAGAATGCAGAGATATCCTGCCTTGGGGCAGGTGATGGCAGAGCAGATTATAACAAAATTGATGCCATGCAAAATGTCTCCCACAGGATCTCACACATATAAATGAGTGAAAGAAGCCAGACATTAAAAAGTACATACGGTACAATTCCATATATAACATGAGGGGGGTTTCTGCGATTCTGAGAATGCTCTGTTGTTTAATTTGGATGTTGGTGACATGGGTCTATAACCAGGTTGTGAACACTCAGTGATGTTTGCATTCATGATATGTGCAATATCAAGTGGCATTTATTCTTCAGACAATAACTGACAAACAGGGAAAGTGGACTGAAGATGTAGAGCAAGGACACAGCATGCCTGCTGCCACTACTACAGCTCTCATGTGGCTGTCACCTGCACACCCCTGGGGAGAAACAGAAACAAAGCATAAACACCAGCTCTCCTAGGTTTGGACTTCAAGCTCCTTTGAAATTATGAATACCTAGAAGACAAGTTCTATGTATATTTAGATTTTCTTTGAATAGTGTCAGGTGTTTAGTAAACCCCTTTACAAGGTTAATGATAGAGTGGTAGTAGGTTTTCATCAAGTATTTGTTCTCTCTTAAGAGGAGAAAAATCATAACAGACAAGCTCTTTTAAGCAATAGTTTACGTTTGATAGCATTACAGAGTGCTTCATCCATGCCAGAAACATCCACTCAGAAAAATAACAATATTATAATTATAAAGCTACCTACTAACTTGTAAATATCAAATACTTATCTAAAGAGTATGTGTGACTGGCATACCTACAGACATTGCCCAGTGGGGTTAAAAACAAAATGACCCTCTGGCTGGCTGTTCTTTGTGAGTATGGGTATAAACTGCACAGCTGTGTTTGGCAGGTGACTGTTATTTGAAGGAGTGGTCTTCATGGAGCCTGTGCCAGCTGACCTGTGTGAACGGTGAGGACCTCGGCTTTGGTGGAATACAGGTCCGGTCCAGAGCGGTGATTATACAAGAACTAGAGAATCAACACCTCTGCCCAGAGCAGATGTTAGAAACAAAGTCATGTGATGGTAAGTCCTATAAGTCATGAAATCTATTCATTTTAGTTTCGTGTTGATAAGCAGAAGCCCAAGATATAGAATTTTCCGTTAAATAAGCAAATTTGCCAAGATGTCACTGAAGGCTGAGAATTGAATTAAGGATATGATTCTGAATTTTAAAGGTTGAGAGGAAGAAAAATCTTGCCATCTTTCTTAAATTTGATATGCAATATTCTGAAAAGGTCTCCCAGTTTTATGAGCTAAAGAAAGTTGAGACAATTAGGAGCTCATTATTTGTACACCTATAACAATCACGATCATGTATGACTCTAAAAGTGTACTCAATGAAATCAAAAGAATGAATAAATAAAAATTACAAAGGTACAGTAAAATGAGAGATTTTGCTAAATTTTCAGAAATTGATAAATCAAAGTACTGGTAAGAATTACTCTAAATTTGACATAACCCTATTTGAATACAGACAGACAGACAGACACACACACACACACACACACACACACACACAGAACCATGCACCAAATATAATCAATACATGACATTTTTAAGAACCACAGAGCATTAATATGTCATAGTTTGGGAACACAGATGAAATCCAAATGAAAACAAAAGAATTGCTGTCTAGTGGAGAATGTAGGGCTCGGCAACCCTCTCCTTCCTCCTTACATTGGAAAAGAAGGTTATGGCATCAGGAGCCAAATATCACATTTATTAATGAAAAGTTGGAGGGGAGCTTACAATTTGGAGTAGAATGCTTACAATGAAAGCAAATGGTGTAGATAACATACCCCCCAAAATAAAATGGTCAGTTAAATCTTCCACAACTTACCAGATAAAACATTCCATATGTCCTGGGACAGGGAGGTGAACAAGTAGAGAAAGATCAGGGGTTACAATAAATGAAGCAGTTTCCAGGGAAAGAAAGAGAATTCTTTACCCCGCAAATGAGAATGAAATAAAATTTCACATCAATGACATTACAGTTGAGAAAGAAATCCCTTCCTGGCTGGTGTGGTTCAGTGGCTTGAGCGTCATTGTCCCATGAACTGAGAGGTCCCGGTTTGATTCCATGTCATATGCTGGGGTTGTGGGCTTAGTCCCCAGTAGGGGGCGTGCAGGAGGCAGCTGATTGATGTTAGTCTCTCACATTGATGTTTCTATCTCTCTCTCCTTTCCTCTTGCTCTAAAAAATAAAAAATAACTTTAGAGAAAGAAATCCCTCAAGAACTTAGAGAAGTGAAAACTGAAAACCATACTTTTAGAGCATTCTATAGCAAATGTTGTGTAGTATTTAGCAGAGAACTAAAAGCCTTAAATGCTCAGATAAGAGGAAGAAGGGTTTAAAATGAACTAAGCTTTCAACTCATATTTTTGAAAAAGGAAAGTATAACTAATACAGATCAATATAAATTAAATGAGATAGAAAACAAAAAAACAAGATAATCAATAAAATCGATAGCTTGTTTTTTACCAAACTAACAAAGTAGACCGCTTCATGCAAAATCATTGAAGAAAATAAAAAGAGCAAAATCAATACTTCCACAGATAGAATAGTGTTTAGAAAAATATCGTTCTGTGAGTACATTTTGCTAATCAATGTAAAAACTTAAAGACAAGTTAGAATGTTATAATTTACTAAGAGGAATAGAGAAGCTAAACCATGGATTCTATAACTATCAAAAATTCAAATCTATCAAATATGTAGTCACATATGCACACAAACTAAAACTTAAATGATTTAATTGTGAGTTTTACCAAAATGTAAAGAAACATACAACTCCCATTTATGTGAAATCTTGAGAAGTAAAACAAAGTTGAGTGGGAAAAAAGGTGGAGGAAAATCTCCCCGATACAACACAAAAAGCACAAACACAAATCAAAAGATAAAAACACATTCAAATTTAAATGTAAGTCTTCTCCATAGGAAAATAGACCATAAACAAGGTCACTGGACAAGCCACAGACTTAAAAATGATACTCGTGATGTCAATTAATTTCAAAGGATTAATGGCTAGAACAATTCTAAAATGTTTCAGTCCAAGACAAATTATACTATTGAAATTGTTAAGGACCCGAAACTGCTTTCTTTTTGTGAGTTTTATGTTTATCAAAATTTATCATATCAAAATTAAAACTGATATGCATTTGAATATTTGTTAATTTATTTTAAATAATCATAAGCCTGGGAGAAACATCTGTAACAAAAATAAATTTAAAAAATAATCGTAAACCAATTGTATGTTACCATAAATAACATATTTCCTAAAAAATAACTATTTTCAAAAATAAAAAGAAAATAACTTTAATGACAAGCGTGGTCTTGTTTTACACTATTTCAAATCTATAATATCTTGCTTAAAGGAAGAGAGCTGGATTCTTTATCTGCTTCTTTATTCAATCTATTGCAATTTTAGTTTATTTTATATACAAGGTGGAGCAAATGTAGGTTTACAGTTGTTCATATGGAAAATAATACAATAAATATTAAATAATGCAAGAATAAATTCTGTTTCCCTTACTCACAACTGTAAAGTTAGTTTTGCTCAACCCTGTATATAAAGAAAATCCTACCTTACACAGTTGTCACATACACACACTCTGAAAGAATGTCAACATCTCCTGTGGTCCCTGGGCCACACTTTCAGAGTTGCTATTATAGAATTAAGAATTCCCACAATTCAGTAAGAAAGGGCACAGATTTCAGTAGGAATAAAAGAAAAAGGCCAGAGGTTAATACATAAGCAGTTCACATAAGAAGAAATCTAAACGCCCCCAAACATCTTTGTTACTGTTTAATAGCTTTAGCAATCTACAGACTGCAATTTAAAATGATAGCTTTTCACACCCACAAGACTGACAAAACTTTTAAATCTGGTAATTATAAAGGTTCATGAGGGTTAGAGCAATGGTAACCCTTATTCACTGCTGGTGGGCGTGTAAATGGTCACCTTTTAGAGGGAAAAAAAATGTCCTAGATTTAGTAACATTTCGGCTATCCCCACAGTGATACCCAGAATTTTCCCTTCTAGATATCTACCTTAAGGAAAACCAGGAGGCTTGCCCAGGGTTGACTACTGAGGCATTGTTGTAACAGCAAAAATTAAAAACCACCTAAAAGTCCACCCTTAGAGGAAGTAGCTGTATAAATTATAGTAATTACTACTGTGGAATTCTATATAGAAGTTAAGATAAACTGACTATATCTACATTAAAATCACATAGAAATAGTTTGTAACATTGACTATTAAGTTTTAGAATGATTGAGAGTATGATCCTTTTTTTATTTTAAGACTGACTAAAAATAATACCTTATATCATTTATGGGTATATATCTCTATACATATTTATGGTACATTGATATTAAAAGAATAAAGATGGTCACAGAACTGCATATATCTACTTCAGAATAGTGGGTATTGCTAGACATGGAGGGAGATCACATCCGAAAGGAATATAATAGAACCTCAAGTTTGTCTGCTATTTTTTATTCATCAACAAGCAAAAAAAATACCAGAGCAAATATGGCTAAGTGGTAACATTTGTTAAATGGCATGATGGGTAACTGAATTTTTTTATTCTCCATCCTTGTCTATATGTTTGATATTTATAATATTTTAAATAATATGTCAAATCAAATTAAAAATCCAGGTTTACATTAGATGGTATAACAGCAGATATGGGAAATGAGTTGGGATTTAGGTGTATACCTGGAATTTTGTAGCATGTGGCAACTTCAGGACAATAAATTGACATTCGAATCATCTGAGATGACCTTCTTGTCACTATTCAGTTACTTATAAATATTTAGTCAATATCTATCACCATGAATAGCCTTCCGGAGAGCAGGACACTTCTGTGAGTGTTTGTTGTGTCCCTGCAGATGGACAGTGTTATGAGTATAAATGGATGGCCAGTGCTTGGAAGGGCTCTTCCCGAACAGTCTGGTGTCAAAGGTCAGACGGTGTCAACGTAACAGGTAAACCTCCAATTTCTCTTTGTTCCTTGAAAGTCTTCCCATAACCCGCATGTAATAGGTCAAAGAAAATAATGAAGAAAATGGAGATATTCTTTCAGTATTCAACACATGGTTGGATTGAGGACACCTGAGCTGTATACCTATCTGGGACCAATGACAAACTATTTTATTTTTTAATGTTTCAGTTAAATTCTCCCTCACCCAGCCATTCTAGACATTGCTGCTAGAATTTATTTAAGTAAAATACTGTCTAACTCTAACAAATGATTAAATAAGTAAATATTCTCAGATTATTTTTACTAGAAATTTTGCATATTAATAACTCACTATGAGTTAAAAATAATCAATTTTTTGTTGACTGTATCTATTTCTGTGTCTTAAAAAGCAATACACCAGCAGACTAAAAATATTTTTGCGGGAATATGATGACACAAGACACAATATCTTGCTTGTGGATTCAGAAAGCTCTGATTTATAGTTTTTTTTTTTATTAATTAATAGAGAAGACCTATTGGTAAATCTCCAGTCCAGAGCATCTGAGCACCTCACCTTCTCTGTCCCCACACAAAAATTATTACACACCCAAAGAAGAAATGCAAATAAGGAACTTTTTTGAGTGTCCTTTATACCCTGATTCACCCCCAAAGAACTAATCTAATCTGCAATTATTAAAAGTTTCCTTATCTGAGCCCAGTAAAGGCAAGGGATCCCAAGGATTCCTTTGAAGAGGGAAAATTGGGCTCCTGATATTTAGTGAGATGCGCCATCCTGCAAATTGCCCAGAAAAAAAATCAAGCTCAGACCAGAACCTCAACCTCAAACACATGGAACCAAAGATCTCTTTGGTCTTCTTCATTTCTTTTTATAGATCTAGTTTACAGGAACCTCCAAGCCACAAGAGTGGAAGAGTCCTGACAGCTATCTGTTCAGGGTGAACTTCTGACTGACTAGCTGCCATTGTTTTGACCCTCTGACAGGGAGAAAAAGTAACATGCATACTGGTGCCTCTTAGTATATCCATTTATAAATTTAGCTGTAACATATACAGTAAGATAACAGCAGCAGGGATCAATATGCTTTTTTGGAAAGCATCAATTTTTATATTGAATTTTAAATTACCTGGATTTATTGAAACCTAATTACTTATTTTCTCCCTGTGAAAGCGGAAGCAGGATGTCACATTGTATTCTTGTGAAGATAAGATTTTATACATGAGAAATCTGTATCAAGAAGCCCTTGATAATAGCAGCCCCCAGTGGACATACGCATAACAGAAAAGACACCTTCCAGAGGACCTTTGCTCTCTCTCAGTGTTATTTTCTGGAAGAAAAATCTGTTTCAACCACACCACTCTCAGAGGAGGGGAAGCAGAGGCTTTCTGAACCAGAGGTGGTCCACTCAACTCAAAAGTCGCAAATTAATATATACATTCTTCTTTAAACTATTCAGGAAGAATTTTACAGCTTCCCAAAAGGGTCCTATTAGTTTTCAAAGTTTTTTGTTTTTTCCCCAAATAAAGATGCAAATAATACTTGTCTGCCCTTTTCTTCTGTAAGTTAAAATCTCTTATCCTCCTGAAATTGGGGCTTTTCCCCAATGCAAAGGTAAGTCCAATTTTAAAAGACTTACCTGTAGAAATCATATTTTCGATTTCTTTTTAATGCAGAACAGTATGCAATGCATTTCTTTCTAATACTGTTTAATACTAACAGGCCAGTGTGTAAATGATTTGTGATAAACTTTATATGCATTCCTTTCCCATCTTTTAGGAGAGATGAGATTCTTTATGAGAAATAGACAATCATGGAAAGTACCTTACCCACCTGGATGCTTTAATGTTATGAATCGTTATCCTTATAAGAAACTCAAGCTGTTGTTTTCTTTTTTTTTTTTTCCTTCATGCATTTAATGATAACTTCACTATGGCCATTTAACTGCATGCCTTGCAAAGACAACTGCTTTCCATAACATTTTTCTATGAATATTTTCTTTATAATATTGAGAGATTAAGGCAAAGAATTGACATTAGTACTCTGAGAAATTCCAGAGGATCATCAGTTCCATAAAGGAAAGACTTTGCTCTGCTAGCGTTCTGTTAGACTGAACAGGAATGGGTTGAGACTGGGAGCTCCTTCCACATCACCAATACAGTTTCCTTCCGACATCTGCCCCCGTCTCCATGTAACACTGTAGGCACACTTGGTACTGTGCAGGAAAAGAAGGAAGGAGAGGGCATCAAAAGAGCGCCGTGAGCCCTGGCCAGTTTGGCTCAGCGGTTAGAGCGTCGGCCTGCGGTCTGGAGAGACCCGGGTTCGGTTCCCGCTAAGGGCATGTACTTCGGTTGCAGTTTGTCCCCGGCCCTGGTTGGTCGTGCGGGTGGCAGCCACTCGATGTGTCCCTTCACATCGATGTTTCTCTTTCTCTTCCTCTCTCTCCCTCCCACTCTATCTGGACAAAAAATGGAAAAATATCCTCGGGTGAGGATAAAAGAAAAAAAAAAGAGCGCCGTGACTTCCAGTTAAATCAACAGAACACGCGCACCACTCAGTAGCTACATGTTTTCTTTCCTGTTCCCCCCAAATCCTGAGTTAGCAGGAACAGTGATTCTTCTGAAAGAGAAATACACATTAAAAGAATAGATAGTAATGTGGTAGTCCATAAATTAAAGAGACATCTCTAGGGATATGAAAACCCTTTCTTTGAATAGCCAAGAAAGACTTTTACCTTTAAAAGAAAATTAAGTCCACTTTCTAGTGCTGGAGCTGGCCGCAGGGACAGTGGCAGGAACAGCTTGTGTGTGCCTTCGGGGCTTTCCCAGCGGCAACTATGAAATCATCTGTTCAACAAGGGCTGTGGACACTGCTCCAGCACCTCCTCAGAATCAAGAGGACCCCGGGTTCCAAAATGAAGTGGTCGGGGTTAACCAAATATTTCAGTCCACCGCCCTTAGAAACATCTGTGGGATTCCCGTGTGGCTTGGGATTCGGAGACAAGCCTGTAACGACAGTGTGTTTTTATTATTGCAAGAGATCCGACTTGTCAAAACGTGGTTTTCTGTTCCGCAGGGGGCTGCCTGGTGGTGCGCCAGCCTGACGCGGACAGGTCGTGTCACCCACCGTGCAGCCAACCCCACTCGTACTGTAGCGAGGTAGGTGTGACTCCCTCAGGCCACACACGCCAGCTTCTCCACTTGTCACCTCGCTGCCTCTTGTGCAGTCATTTCCCTGGACAGAAACCCTGTCCTGAGGCATAAAAATCCGACTTGGGGATCTCCCCTTTCGTCAACATAGACAACCCCGAATGCACCTGCCTTCAACGGTTAGAATAAACTAGTGTGCGGTGCAAATGGCGTGTTCTTTCTTTATGTAGTGAAGACAGAGCTTACATGCCCCCCAATACTACTTCATTAAGAATCCCCCAAACAATACTTCATTAGAACCTTCTCTTCAAGTCAGGTCTGTTATGCTTTCAAAAACCACCTGTATGCACAGTAGACATCTTCTTGTTCTCCTGCAGACGAGGACATGCAGTTGTGAAGAAGGGTACACCGAAGTCCTGTCTTCCAACGGTACCCTTGAGCAGTGCACACTGATCCCCGTGGTGGCGATACCCACCGTGGAGGACAAGAGAGGAGACGTGAAAACCAGTCGGGCAGTCCACCCGACCCAACCCTCCAGCCACCCGGCGGGGCGGGGAAGGACCTGGTTTCTACAGCCATTTGGGCCAGGTGAAGTGACTAGACAGCGCTGATGTAGAATTCTTTAGTTATACACTCAGCCAATGCCAAGCGATTAAAAAATGAGCATTTTCTTATGAGCTATTACCAACACTCATTTGTTCTGATGCTGCAAAGAATCTTATAATTTGTGTACTATTATTATGAAAAAAGCACTTATGCTCAGTGTTCAGAGAAATAAAATTACTTTCTTCTGAGAAAAAAAAGTTCAGGAATGATATTAGTTATTCAATCTTGGTCCTAAATTTACAAGTATAATTACTTTGACATTGAACAAAGCAGTCTACCAATGAAAATATTAATTAGGATAAAAACCTGTTATCATTCAGTACAGGAACAAATAAAACTGTAAAGGCATTCAAGAATTTTTTGTTTGACCACAGAGCGGTAATAATTTGAACCTAAAATAGGAACATTAGTAATGCAGTTATGTGCGGGGGGAGGGGAGGGTCACCAGGTAGCCAGACCCACTTCTGTTAGCCCTTTAAGTTGGCACATTCAAAGTCTCAGAATCTATACCAGCTCTAGATCGACTAAGGGAGGGATGGAGCCTTCTTGTCTAGATGGACCATCTTGGAGACTGACTAGACCCTTGTCCTCTTAGACAGCTTTTCATGTGTCTAGTAATGGACTTGAAGCCAATACCAGCAAAAGCTTGAAGGCCTGATGAAATGCTATTCCTACTCTGTACACTTTCTCTCTCCAGTGGGTCCAGCCATACACTTACCCCTGGAAATAAGCTGATGCTTCAGAGTGTGCTGGGAGAGCTAGCTAAGATCATGCCACTTTTTCTCACACCAAGAGGGATTGCTAGTTCATGACCAAAGGATATCTCCAGGCAAAGCCAAGCATAGACTACTTTATAACTCTGTCAGAAACACGAGAAAGGAAGGAAGAAATGTGCGTAGCTAACACCTCTCCATTTTTAATGCATTAAGTCAAAACACTTTGCCTTACTGGGGAAGCTCTGTTGGAATTTTTTAAAAGTATGGGGTGATTCTCATTTAACTACATTATACCTACCTTAATTAGGTTTGAAAGGGTGAAAAAGAGACATTTCATTTTGCAATGCTGACTTGTCTGTGTAAACATGGAAAACTCTTCTCTCAGTTTTCAAGACAGTGGGCCAGCAGATGGCCATTAGCCATCTTGACCTTGACTAAGAATCCAAGCAGATTTCCTCACATCAAAACTTGTTTTTAGAAAGAGAGAATATTATTATTGTCATAATGAATTTAATACCTATGCCCTGGCCGGTTTGGCTCAGCAGTTGGAGCATCGGCCTGAGGACCAGAGAGTCCCGGGTTCGGTTCCCAGTAGGGGCACGTACAAAAAAAATTTAATTCCTAGTTTCCCTAAAGCAAATATTTCAATATACTACAAAAGCACATTTAGACCCTGTTCTTGGTTTTTGAAAAACTCAAAGAATATTTATAGAAGAACACTCGAGGTAGATAAACCCAACAGTGGGACGGCTCTTTTGATTTCAAACCTAGGTTTAAAAATTTAAATCTTTAGAATTGACAAGAACTATTTAATATTTAAAATATTAATTTATTTCCAGCAAATGAACCCCTAAATTGATCCAGCTCTAGGTTTAAAAAAAAAAATCACAGGACTGATTTGCTTTTGATCAAACCAGAGTCTCCATGGGGTCAATTTTCCCATCTATAATTTAACACTAATATATGTTTAATTACATGTATGCAACAGGAAATATATGTTGATGTGAGGATCAAATTAAGTTAGCAAAGTTATTAGTAGCGTCTTATGTTTGAAGTTTATTCAGAACATAAAACTAAATTCAAATAGAATGAGACCAGAAAACCAACTTCAGAGTCTCTGTCCTGCTTGGTTTCATGCACAGATTTCCCCCCGATATCCAAAAGGAGAGTGTTCCTGTACTTTCTTAAACCAACGTGGCATAAAGCGAAGAAGCAGTTACCACCAGCTTCTATGGGAAACGTTTTGAGCGTCCTCCAACCCAGAAAATCACCCCCTAATTTATACCAAATATGCTTAATTACATCCAGTTTTACACTAAGCATGACGCCCATACGCGCTCTCTCAGCCTGTCCAGTACCTTAGGACACATCTTGCTAACAGACGCACAAAGTAAATGGAGACAAAGCTCAAGTGCTCGCGGGGTTCAGCGCTCTGGCAGCGTGAGGCTGAGATTCGGGGTGTGGTCCCCGGGAAAGAGCTTGGTGGGGCCTTTTGCTTCCCGGAAGGGCTGCTGCCTCTGCACCGCTCACTGCAAAGCAAACGCTGGACACTGCTGTTGCTTCTCGCCTTTTCTCATAAGAGAAAATCACCTTCGCACTTCGTTGGGTTAAGAGTGTACCACATACTTTCAAAAAGTAGGGAGTTCCTGTATTAGAAAAGGTAGAAAGGAGTTATTTAGAGACCCTTTTGTATGTGAATCAAACTGGGTTATTTTTGCAAATAATACTGTCAAATCAGCTTTAAAGGACACTGTACATGTAACTAGATAAAAAACTATCCATTCCCCACATTGTTAAATGTATTCATTTTGAGTTTATCTGGAAAAAACATGTTGAAAAGACCAAGTTTATGTTCAAATGCCTGTCTGCATCAACTCTTAAGTTGGAAGACTTTTTTGAAATTGCATTACGTTTTTTTCCTCATTATTGCCAATCTCAAAATAGAATGAAAATCAAAGGAAAATGTTTATGTAACATTATGGCTATATTGGATTTGAAGTAAAATTCAGATAAGAAACAGCAGAAATTTAGACGTAGTAACTTAAAATCTGAACACATTGAAAATGTTATTTATTACCTTTCAATTCAATTTCATTGATAATTTATCTTTAATGAAGGCACATCTAACTCATAATAGCAGCTTTGCATTTATCATTAATTGTGCCGAAGCAGTAATTCATTTTGAGTTTTGAAAGGACTTGGTCATATGTGATTGGTCCATTGGTCATAGTTAAAGACTGTCATTTATATGCCAGACTAATATAAATTAATGATTAATATCCATTCTTCTTAGATGGAAGACTAAAGACCTGGGTTTATGGTGTAGCAGCTGGGGCATTTGTGTTACTCATCTTTATTGTCTCCATGATTTATCTAGCTTGGTGAGTCTTTAAATATTTCAAAATCGGAAAGGATAAATAATCTCTCTGGGTTAGAGGAACCACTTTCAATTGACCATGACACAGGAACGGCAAACTAACGTCTCAAATAAGGACTCAGGTTTATTTAGTGTTCATCTGAAGTTCCAAACAAACATGGCTTTAGTTGAAGATAGTCTAAAAACTACCAAATCTGAGTCATTTAGTTTCAGGCCATCTTATCAAGTACATTCTTCTTGGCAATGCCAGGGAATGTGCTTATGATGAACTGCAGATGTTTATACTGAATGAGTACTAGAGAGAGATATATGGTAATACCTGATCTTGTTCAACTGTCTTTTTATACATGCATTATTTATAAATTATGTATTATTTATAAAGTATTCTGGCCAAATATAAATGGTTACACGATAATGTCATTTCTGTTGTTAGTACTAGAGGAATTCCATTTGAATAATTAATCTTTTACAGGATAATAAAATATTTGAAGGGTTCTGTTTTGAGTTTATTCAGAGCATAAAACGGAAAAATTCAAAGATACCAGAACATCACATTTTAAGATTGAATTTAGGCAATGCAGACAGTTCAGTAATTTAGATTTATCAATAGTTGCAAACTTTTCTCATTTCTAGCAGCAAAATTTACAAAGAAAGATGGATTTTTCTCCCACTTTTAATGATTGTCTAAAATGTATCTTTATTGTTGAAAGTATTTCAGATGTCCCCCCCATTTTTCCCCATTGACACCCTCTTCTCCACTCCCCTCTTCCTGAATTTTTTTTTTAACAGCAAAAAGCCAAAGAAACCCCAAAGAAGGCAAAACAACCGACTGAAACCTTTGACCTTAGCCTACGATGGAGACGCAGACATGTAAAATACAACTCACTCCAGCAACAACCAGTTTCAGCTCTCGGACTCTGCAGAGGCTACCCAGAGGCCACGGAGCTATTCACGCCGCGTGGATTAAAACACAGTGTACCTGTTCAAAAGCTTCGTTAAGGAAAGAGTGAAAATTACAGTGCCATTGGCGAAATCAAGACAATACCATTACACAGAAACCATCGACTCTGAGAAGTCTAAGAGATTAAGTTGAAGACATACTGCCTTCTGAGAGTCTTGTGTGATCTTTCATGAAACCTACCGACTGGTAGTGTACTTTCATCTCTGAAATATGGTGATGGAATTGGCCGTTTGGGGTGCCCGAGCAAGCCTCTGTCTGCAGTGTTAACCCGTAGTAACACTTTAGCATGAAGCGTTTATACCAAGATCTCTATAATACTATAGGCAAGCATAACATCATGTATACTCAACTGAATGATACATATTACTATGTCAGATTATATACTTGGTAATAAGCCATTTTAATGCTCCAAGTTGAGCAGAAAACCCATTGCGTAAATTCAGCATTTGGTGGTTGATGGTAGCTTTTATTGACCTGCATTTCAGAGGCAAAGACTTTTTTTTATAAGACTTCGTTCTTGTCTGTCTCCAAAGTACGAATGCTGGACATGTCCTAGTATCTTAGAAGAGTCCTCAAGTTCAGTATTTTATAGTGGTTATCGTCTGGAAAACGAATTTGCTTGTGTTCATACAATAAGTTTCTACGTTCCCCAAATTCAAACTGGTTGCCTGCAGCTTTTTTTTGCTAAATGGAAGGCACATTTTTGCACTATATTAGTGCAGCATGATAGGCACTTAACCAGGATTGCCATAGAAACTGCCTCTTTTCATACGGGATGAAGACATCTACGCTAAGAGTGTCATGGAGACATTGACAACTTCTTGTATCCTGAAGAGAGTAGAGTGCATTTTGGGATGGCCACAGGATGGAAGTAGCTGTTACACCTGCTGTATACACTTTTCCTCATCACTGCAGCCACCACGAAATTGACAACGTGGCGGTGATTTAAGTGTTTAAGTCCCGAACTCATTAATCTTCCGAAAGATGGATCCCTCTAGTTGGTTTTTAATTGTACTTTGAAGGCTGTTTATGACTAGATTTTTATATTTGTTATCTTTGTTAAAAAAAGAAAAGAAAAGAAAAAAAGGAGCTGGTTGTCTTTTTCATTTTGGGCAGATGGAGAAAATAATGTACTGATGACCTTTGTACCTGAAAGAAATCTAGACTGTGTATTGACTCCCCCCAGCCCCCGATTTGTTTTTTTTTAGTTTCAGATCAAATGTAGTTCAAAATCCATCGTTTTGTCATTCTCATTGGTAAAATTTGAAGTGGTATTTTTCATTTATGATTTCAAAAACTGAAATTTAAAAAAATAGAAGAGTATTTTGTCCAAAGCTTCATGAAATATCTAGACCAAGTGTGGCAAATTTTTCCTGTAAAGAGCCAAACGGTAAATGTTTTCAGCCAGGTCTATGTTGCAGCTTCTCAACTCTAATATTGTGAGAGCACAGCCATGGACAATACACAGTGCATAAAAGAATAAGCGTGGGTGTTTTTCAATAAAATTTTCTTTAATAAATAAAGTCAGCAGGCCACATTTGCAAGGTGTGGTGTGCTGACCGCTAGTCTAGAATTTTTTTCAATGCTAGCTGTCCATTGTAACATGTTTGTTTTCATTCATTTACCCTCAGACAGAATCAATGTTTAATTTCAGAGATGAAAACAGTCCTTAAACTTATCACTGTGTTGGAAGTAGCTATGTGTTTTACAGCCTGGGGATGGGACCGTGAATAATATCTAACTTGGCTGACTTCTTTCATATGAAAAGTAGATTCAAAAGGTGCCACTAAAAAGCAGTATCATTTTTCAGGCAACTTTTACTGCAATAACCTTTGGGAGAGAGAAGGACATTACGGTGTCAGGTCTTTTAAAAATAGTATACCAGCTGTTTTTATCCTAAACATAGCTGTGTTGTTAGGAAAGTGGTTTGGACTAGAAGGTCTTTATTTACCTTCATACTAGAGTTGGAACTCCCCCTGCTGTTCATTAAAGTATTTGCAAAATTATAGAAGACATTAGATTAGGATGTCCTTGTCCCCCAAATGAACAGATTTCTGCATATATCAATAAGAATTAAATGTGGTACACACTAATTCATCATTTCGTACTTATTGTATTGTTTGTTTTGTAAATTACTTCAAAACAAACAAGTATTCAGGAAGATGAGAATTTTACCTTTAACCCAGGAATTAAATAAGGAAAAGCATGAAAACAAATTCCATGTCATCTGTTTTATTGAAGAGAAAGACAAAACTAATATTGTTACTCTAAAACTGTGATTGGCAATATATGTACTCAGGAGTCTTCCAGACAATGGATCTCTGAATAAAACAAATTCCATTTGTCTAAAATAGTTGAGAACCTTAATAACTTTTAAATTATTGAGTAAAGTGAAATATTGTTGCTACTAAAGCTATACTTATAATACTGTAAAATGTCATTAATTCAGAAGGCAGATCAGTATTATCCTATCTTTATTGTAAGAATTAAATGGATTAATTGATCAAAATTATAAAATGTTATGCCCTGGCCAATGTGGCTTAGTTGGCTGGGCATCAGCTCATGCACTGAAAAGTTGCCAGTTTGATTCCAGGTGGGGGCACATGCCCAGGTCGTGTGCTCGATCCCTAGTCGGGGTGTGCAGGAGGCAGCCGATGGATGTTTCACTCTCACATCAATGTTTCTCTCTCTCTCCCTTTCCTTTCCCCTGTCTCTAAAAATCAGTAAAACATCATTTTAAAAAAATTATAGAATGTTCAGAAAATACTAGATGATTTTATTTATAAATTGATTATACTTTACAACACAATGTTATTTGCAGGAGACTAGGTTTAATGTGACCTAACACTAGGGAGCATATTGGAAGTTCATTGTTAGGTAAATAAATACTGGGTGGTCTCTTGTTAGAAAGGTTGGAAGGAGGGGAATGTAACTGGCTGGCTATTTTGGACAAATGAAAGTTACTGTATTCACGTTTATTAAATGAAAATGGCCTTATTTTCATTCCTGGCATGAGTCAGTAATGAGTTAAATACCTTACTGAAATGTCATCAGAACCTTATTCCTCCTGTTCACTTTTTAAGAATTCAGGAGGGGAATATAGTAATAACTTGTGTATTGACACTTCTGCCTTACCGAAATGCTCTGAGCCCCAAAAGAGTTAGAACTACTGTTGTCTAAGTATGAAGGTCTGCCTCGTTTAAAAACAAAAAAAGAGAATCCTGATGCGGTCTTATACTCCTTCACTGGACTGTTTTAATACGAACCACACAAAAGCAGCATGAAAGGGGTTGATTTGCAAATTCATCAATACCTGATCAAGGGTCTTGACCATAATCCTTATTTCAAAGCCCTTTTGAGGACACTACAGTGTAACTTAAGCTAATTTCAAAAGGAGTACATAAAAGCATGTTCTTAGTTACTTACAACAAAGCACAAATTACTTATAACAAGACATATATTTATTGAACTATCACAGGTAAGACATTCTCTGCTAGGCACTGTAAAAATTAGTAGTGGCTTTTGTATACATATGCACCTAAGATATGCAAAAGAAGGAAAAATGCTTAATAAATCACAACAGCACTTACACACATGGCCCTTTATCCTAGATCTGTTTCCCAGTGTGGTTAGTATGTTTCCTTACAGAACACCCCATGTCAGGCCTGGCTGTTAGCTGTAACTGCCCCCGGGCAGAGGGTGGTGGCATTAAGATTAATCAGAACTCCTCTTAAGTTCCTGAACACTTCAAAACAAATCCACGTATTTCCAACTTCTTAAAGGAAAAAAGGAACACCTCTCACAGATTTTTTTTACCTCCTCTAACTCCTTCTATCCTTGCTGGTGACAATGACTTTCTGTGCCAGGTCTCTCCCTACTCTGCTGTCTTCTGAACAACTGCTCTTGTCTACTGGCCTCAGACCCACCTTCTACCGAACATGCCCACATAGCTTATAAGAAGAAACAAGAGGTGAACACCGGTATGTCCTCCCTATTGGAGTCAAAGTGTCACTTAGAGTGTGAACATGTTGATTTAAACAGAATGTGCTGGTCCAAGACCTAAGGAAGGAGGAAAGATGCTGGTGACATGTCAAAAAAAAACCTGAAATATCTTTTCTATAGAAATGTCAGTTCTTACACTCTATTTAGGACAACCCATTACCCTGCAGACTGAGAGAGGCCTTTCCACAGAGGACAGCCCATCCTTAGGCTGATTCGGGGAGTGAATTGGTTTGCGAGAGTCCTTCCCCAATGCCCTGGGATCTCACTGTATCTAACAACGTTACCAAACTCCAATGTGTTTCTTGTTCTGCTTCCCCTCTACGCGTGGGCTGTGGGAAGGAGCGCGGTCCAGGAACAGACTTGCGCGCAAGCTCCTGGGTGGGTTTAGATGCGGGAGGGGCTTCTCCCCGGCCGCTGGCCCGGCCTCCAGCAGTGCGGGCCTCGCAGGCAGGACTCTTCACAGAGAGGGGGAGCGGGGTGCCCATTCTGTACCTCGCAGGGAGACGGGAGCATGGCTATGTCTACGTGGTTACGTAAGTAAAATAAATCCTAAAGAGATAGTTAGTTTTGTAGTTGGATGTTTTCATGCTTCTACCAAGCCAGCCCTTCAAACGGGCAGCTCATAAAGACGTTTAATTTGTGGGAACCATGTTTTGAGCCATCCAATTCTCTATTTAGATATATAATTGGGTGTCAGTCTTATTGTGCTTTGTAGATGTTCTTTTTCTGTTATTCTTCTTCCTTCAAAGCAATAGTTTGTAGAGCACCTACTTTGACCCTTCAATGAACTTGTCTCAATATTTTTCAGGAACCTATTGGTGTTTATTTTTCAAAAGTAAACATTAAGATTCCCTTTCTGGTACTTTTCTTGCATAATTCTAGCACAGAGATTTGAAGAGACCAGTATTTGTCACTGTAAAATCTAA